AAAGGCCAATTAATTGTAGCGCCAATATCCCCTGCTAGATATTGTATTTTATCTGGTCGGCAAATATGTTTTGTCTAGGCCAACTAATAATTATTTTGGTCGATAAATATTGTGATGCCATATCCTTTGCTAGAAATTTAGGCCCAAAACTAAGATATTCATCGACCAACATCATGTAGTCGGCAAATATATCTCTTCTAGACAGACTAATAATTATTTCGGTTGGTGAATGTTGTAACGTTATATCCTTCTCTAGAAATTTTGGACCAAAAACAAGATATTCACTGGCCCCTTTCACCTAGTCAGCAAATATATCTCGTCTTGGCTGACTAATAATTATCTCGGTCGGTAAATGTTGTGGTGTTATATCCTTCTCCAAAAATTTTGACTAAAAAATAAGATATTTTACCTACTCCTTTCATCTAGTTGGCAAATATGTCTTGTCTAGGCCGACTATCATATTTTTGGTCAGTAAATATTGTGGCACCACATCCCTGCAAATTTTTGGCCCAAAAATTAGATATTAAACAACCTATTTCACCTAGTCAGGAAATATATCATGTCTAGGTCGACTAATAATTATTGTGGTCGGCAGATGCTGTTTTTAAAGGCTAATTTTTGGTGGGTCGGTAACAAATTGGTCAGCAAAGACGATTTTCATTTGCTATTTCTTTTGGGTCGAAAAAACTGGTCGGTAAAGATATGGCCGACTAAGTACTTTTATTAGTTGGTAAATGAGCATTTTCACCTACTAGTTTTGGGTAGGGGTGTAAAAACGGGCAGGCCGGGCCAGGCCGTAGATGAAGAAAACCGGGTACAGCCCTGGTAAAAACAGACCCGGCCCGTGCGAGCTTTCAGGGGCGGTCCAGCCCGGACCTGGGGGAAGGGCTGACCTAGCCCTGCCCGGACCGCAAGCCCAGGCTACAAGCCTGCATGGGCCGGGTCGGCCCGCTAGGCAAGATTTATTTTTTTCAAAAATAAATGGTAAAAATAATTATAGTGAAAATCGATAAAAGTTACATAAAAATAAATTTTAGATTGATTTATTTTTTTGATAAATTTTATATCAATAACTAAATAATATAAAAACTTACAAT